TTTCCCCAAGTAACCTTTTCTGTTGTTGTGCCTGGCACATAGTAGGTGCAGAGTAAATATTTGTGTGTGTGTGAATGAATGAAGGACGTTCAGGACACAAAAGCTTCTTGGTTCACTTAAGTCAGCTGGCTCTTAGCAGTATTCAGTGTATAAACGTGTTGTTGACAATTCTCTTTGCTCTTTGTGTGCATAAGCTAAGAATAAACAGCACTGAAGGGAAGGGAGTGCTTCATTCATCGGAGGATTACACCATCATAAACTCAGCAAAGCGTACCACACAGAGCTAGTGATCACAGAAGACAGGCAACCCGGGCCCCATCATTAAATATAGAAGCCTGTCTTCACTGTTTTTATCCAAACAGACACTCTGTATTTTGGAAATTTCCACCACACTTCCTTTTGAGTTGCTTCTTTTCTCAAGATACCAAGACTGAAACTTTAGAAAAGTAGACTCGGTGAGGAAAGCTGGCAAAATGATGGCAATATACATTTCTTTGTCCTCCTCATCCCACACCACCCTCCCACCCCTGTGCAAGGGACCATTGTGTTAATGTTTCTTGGCTGAATTTTATGTCCTTGAAAAATTTCTATACGCTGATGGAAAGACTAGAAACTCTGACATTCCAAGATTTCCGGTTCAATACTAAATGATTCCTTTTTCTCCAGACCAAATAAAAGTGATAATGTCTTGAGTCTATTCTTTAATTAAACATCAACCATATAAAGAAACTGAGGTAGAATTGGTAAAGCTATTTGTGGCTTACCAGAAATGTTTCACACCTAAAGGCTCAATATTTTTTCTTTCAGTAGTGAATCATTTTGTATGTGTGTGTGTGAGTGTTAAGTACCATCTTTGTTTTAGGTTATTTAAAGTATGAAATATTAAATCCTTCATATAACTTTCAAAATATTATTAGTATTTTTATTGTTTTTAAATACTTAATACTTAATACAATGTTTTTATTAAATTGAAATATTTTAAAACACTGACATATTTTAAAAATATTTTATTAAGTTTTTTAACTACCACTAAAAATTTACTAAAATAAGAAAATAAGTGAGAATGCTGGTGAAAGCCACAGTAAAGATGAAAATTGCTCCTCTGCTGAGGTGACAATGTGAAAACCATATCATGTGGATTCAGGCTTCAAACAATATTCCTCTCCCTGAGTACATCCAATGTCCCTTTGCCTTGTTTTAAAGATGCTTGTATTTCTCATTGTCCTATAATGCCTTATACTAACTTAAGGTAGCTTGAATATGTTTCTCTTTCTTGTTACCTGACAAAGCCAAATATACTCATGTTATGATGGTAAAATGGAATTGTACATTCTGTAGAATTATTTGTAAACTAATTGTAAGCTCTAAGCTGGCATTCAAAAAGGAGGTGGGATTGGAGATGCTTAGGATATAAATTAGTGTCAAAATTTTAATGCTTATTAAGGAAAAATTCATTTGGTGCCCAACTCTCATTATAGTTGTGTATGTATTCCCTGACTTTGTGATGTAGCCTACAGGTGGTCAGGACTAGTATATTATAATAACTCCTTACTTACCTGAATTCTGATATTTTGGCAACTTACCCTTTCTTGGCAGAACATGCAGTTGCAGAACATCTAGAAAATTTATATAGTAAGTCTTTATCCAGAGTCATACTGATTTCTATTTAGCATAAATTGTTAAAATATTTAGATCTCTTTTTCTATCTTGGAACAGACTGGAAAGGAGAAGGTGAAATAATATTAGACGCAGGTAGGGCAGTAGAAACATCTTTACTGGGAACCCGGAACTGAAACAGGGAGTAGTCAACTTCAAAGGCAAACAGGACACAAAGATTAATATAATAATGGAGATTCACAATGATGACATAAAACAAAATTTTAAATTTTCATTCCAAAAATTCTTTTATGGAGGTAAGGATATTTAGGAAACAATTTATAAAATATTTAATAAAATAGCTAAAACTAAAGTGTTTAGTTTATATAATCAATAAATATATATTTGGAAAATACATTTCTAGGACCATCTCATTAATGTGATGACTATTGTTTTAACAACTGAAGGCAGTCCTCATCCATTCTTACAAAAGTTGTCATTTTTTGTTCTTCTTGTAGCCCCTCTAGTCTTAATTCTCAGAAGTCTTGACGTAAATCAGAAACATTCTTTGGTAGATCAGAATACCTTTAAACACTCATCAAAAGCACAAGTTGATATCTGGGATATCTAGAAGAATGTACAATAAAATGTACAGTTTTCTTCTCTTCCTTTAATGCTGATATAGTCACTAATTTACTGATGATGTAAACAATGCAGGTAAATATAGGCACTTAAAATTCTATTAAAGTCAATGCTACTACAAAAAAATGGCAACTGAAAGGCAATCTTGGGGATCCTGTGGATGTGATCCCCTAAATCCCAGTGTTTTGATATTATATTAAAAAAAGAATTCAATATATAACTAATGTTTTATAATAAATATTTCATTTTATTCCTTTCATGTAACAACTGCTCTGTGTAGTGGAAGTCCTTATGTGTTTAATGCTTAAAGGTTAAAGAGGGAACTCGAGTTGGTCTAGGAGACCTTCAGCTGCCCATCATGCTATTGTTTGCCCATGAAGACATGTTTACTTTCTGCTGTCCTCACTCTGACACACCAGTCATTTGCATCTGGGAAATCTACCTTCAACACCAAGTTATTCCTGAGAACAAAATAATGCTGCAGGCACGCAGAGCCAGTAGACAGCCAGGAGGACAGGGATGAGCATGGTGCCCACACAGCTCCCTCCATTTCCCTTTTCCCAACACTGACCGTGGATTGTCAGTTGCCAACTAGTTATAAAGAGGCTTGATTTAAACCATTTTTTTTTCTACTCTTTGGAACTTTGGTAATTTGTTTTCTATGAAGGTCATCATCACAACAAAACAACTGCATTATGGCAAAAATTTGGCTAATCCACGAAGGATATTATGAAAAGAGTCTACCTATGACCCTGAAAAATACCAGACCACTGCATATTCAATTCCACAATTTTGTAACCTTAATGAGTTCTGCAGGGTGCCAAGTCGCCAATCCGACCAGCTGCATGGAAGCTTGCCACCAAGATGCCCACCTCCACCAAACCATTGCTGTTACTCTGTGTTATCCAGCTTGGGTTTGGAGACTGAAGGCTAAAAAGCATGTTGAATTTTTATGGTAAAAAAGTGCATCAGGAGGGCAACTACATACTAGGTTACCCTCCCAGGTTGACCCCTGTCCTTAGGTTTTTATTGCCTGAACTGGCACCAAAGAAACTCCTCGAAAATAACACATTCCTTGTCCATTCAGTGGTTAATGATGCTTAAAAAAATCACAGTTTGTGACTGTGACCTAAATTATACCAGAAGCTGTAAAACCATGGTTTCTTTAAATTCAAATATGACCCACATGCTTTAAAACCACTACACTGACCCTATAGTGCTGTTGCTGAGTGTGCGTGTCCTCACGTAAGTGCACACACACACTCACACACACAAAACACTTGGCAATAAATGACTCGATAAAAGAAATGCTATTTTTCAGACTTCCATGTTAAAGAGAAGGCTCATGAAAGAGATGTAAGTGAGCTTTAAGCCAAACATTTGTTTGGCTTTGCTGCAGCAGGCTGCAGGAATGTAAACTTTTTTTTTTTCAATGACTTCAGCTCCTAATTTGAAAGCTTGGATTTTTAGGAGTGAGCAAAGACTATATTTGGCCAAAAAATTCTGCTGGCTTTACTTAGCCACTCTGCACATTCAAAACAATACTTCTTTATCAAAAAAACAATAGTCTGTTTTATTCACAGCACATGTAGAAGTTGGAACATCGACTAAATTCCACTTTCTTCTCTCGCAGTGTGTCTGCAACCGACTAATGAGCTGCAACAGAGCCTGGCCTTCATTTTCAGCACATTAAGTTCATCCCTCCTAGGAATTGTGGTCGGGTTGTGGCACCGCCCCTAGGTATGGGTGGGATTTGTTTCTTCTACCAGTGGTAGGTTAGCCACATGGGTACGTGCTGTCGCACCACACAACAAAATTTTCTCTATAATAACCAGTCTAAGTAGCCTTTTACCCCACAAAAGTAGATCCCATTTAATTTACTTTGTGTTTATAGCACTCCCTCTCAAACCGCATCATTGGCACAGACTGATATTTATACAACTTTTTATTTTAAACTATTTATTTAGAGTGGAGACTTCAGTAGCGCTCCTTGTCAGATTCATTGAGCGTGCTTCAGTTCAGGGTGCTGAAGATGTAAATTGGGAAGAGCAACGTGTGTCCGTGGGGCTTGTTTCCTCAGCGCGTGGACGCCCACACAGCTCTCCCGGGGAGGTTACACACGTGTTGGTAAAATTTATGATACAAATTGCTGACAGGAAATTTTATGTTGTTAGGTGATTAAAAAATAATTGCTTTTGCTTATTGTGTCTCCACAGTTCTTTGACAATATAGTTGATCGAGTCAGTTATGTAACGGGCATCTAAGAAATTTTAATTTAGAAGTAGCAGTGTCATTATGGATCTCTTTTTATACACAATGCAATATTCTATTACTCAATTATTCTAATGGAAGTCTCTGGTCAGCTGAGCACTTACCACAGAAGAAAAGGAAAATAAATTTCTTGATTTTGTATCTGACCTATTTTGGAGATTTACCCAAGTTATATTTTTCTTAAAGTTTTTTTTTTTACTTTTTTAACTTTTAAAATGAGGGAAGGAATACAAATTTCAAATGGACACTTAACCACATAAAATGGAGGGGCATCTGGTCAATTTTTCTGCTTACGGTGCGTATTTCACACTGTTAACGATGTTGAATCTTCATTTCCTACGAGGTTCTGCATGTTGGTTTTAAATCCTATACTATTTCATGATCTAACAATACAAGTAAAGTCTTGCTTGCATATTTGATCCTCTTTTACTTTCTTCTTTTGGTGAATACCTATTCATTTTCAAAACCTGGCTTATGCATTGTCTCTTTAGTGGAAAATGTCTCATCTCAAAGAAGAACACTGCTCTGTTAGAGTAAGGTAAGCTTTTGAGAGTAAACAATGCTTCTGTCTTCCCAGTATTCCCTACAACCCTTACTCTTTCTCTGCATCCAGCAGAATAGGCTACACAGAGAAGGGACAACAAAAATAAAACAAGTGACAGTAAAGGAATTAACTTTTGTAACTCAAAATTAAGGTCTCAATTGAGAAAACAGATTTGAAAGAACAAGGGGCCAGTTTTGGTTGTGCTTCCCTCAGTCCAGGGGAGGTAAAGACTTCACGGGTCCTGGGAAGAGAGGAGACTTGAGAAGGGACTAAAGGAACTTAGACGCCAAGAGTGGGGATCCCTGAGAAGGGGTGCAGACAGAGCCTGGAATTGTAAAGAATTGGAGGAGGGCCCAGGTGAGGAGGGTGTCCCAAGGTCAGCACAGAACAGACGAGGGCTTTCCTACAGTATAGTGAGGAGGATGCAGTGAGGACTGGATTCCCCTTCCAAATCTGCTCTCCAGACTCCCTGGCCCTTTTTAAACCCCTGGAAGTTAGAGGCAACCCAGCAAAGAGGGGGCTAGAGGAGGCTTAATTTCTGCCACTGTGTGAATGGGGGCTTCAAATCAAACAATAAAATGTTGTGGGAAAAAATGAAAAAGTTTTTGCACATCTGAGTTTGGCAGCTCCAGGTTTGTATGTATCAAAAGAAAGGGCTATACCTTCCTCATTGTCATTCGTCTGTGTCAGAGCATGTGTGACACATAGTAGGCACACAGTAAACAGTTGGTAACAGAATGAATCAATATTGTAGAGCTGGGGTTATATGCCAACAACTCCATATCTTTGATCTGGTTTCTCTGTTGGGTCAGGAAAAAGAGTTTTGCCTTTCTTGCCTTATTTTTGCTTGCTGCATGCCAGCTTGGCCTGTTTACTCCTGTGGTTTCCCAAATTCCAAAACAATGCGGCATTGCCTGAAATTACACTTTAGTGCTTTCTGGAGCATTTCTGCTGCCCACCCTACTTGCAGTGACTCCACTTCAGTTCCTTGAACGCCAGCTGCTGCGAGGGTTCGCTGTCACTAAGCCTCTACGTGCATCCATCCCAGAGGAGTTAAGTGGGACCACATCAATGCCGGGGAACTGGCTGTCTTCCAGAACTGCACTGTGGGTCATTCTGTCTCGTGCTTTGGTAAGGTCTATTTTCTCCACGGCCTTTCAGTGGGGAGAGGGGCCTGGGATAGGGCAGAGCTTGGAAAATAGAAACAGAATGCCCAGCGTGGGCGTAAAATGTCCCCTTTTCCTCTTGAGCCAAGGAGATTCATTCAGGGGACGTTCCACTTACACATTCCCTTCTAGTCTAATTTTTACTCAACTTTTTTTCCCCTGGCACCTGTAAACCAGATGGGATATCCACTGACACACTGAGCTGTGTAGGATGAGGGGGCTCTCTGTTTCCTCCTTCAGCCCTTGTAAAGGCATCTGCTGTTTCCCTCGTGCCCTGTTTAGACGTCAGTGTCTATGTTTTCTAAATCACATTTGTGTGATCAAGCACTTTCAAACTTTAAGACATTAAGCACCAATGTCACTTTGATGCCTTTTACACCTAAGTCTGAAATATGTAAGAAAGTGTAAATTGCCCCACCCACTCCTACCACTTTCCTATATCAGTTCGTTTATTTTTGGTTACAAGTAGCAAAACACCCAATTCAAGCTGGCTTCAACAGGAATGTAAGGGCCTCTTAACTGAAAGGTGGTGTAGTGTAGGTGGTTCCTTTTTGTCAAGAAAATTTGATTATTTCTGTCTTCCCACTCTGCCTTTCAGAACCTTCCTCATGGTCACAAGATGACTGCCAGCAGTGGACACCAGGGCCACCTGTTTTCCTGTGTGTCCTATGGAACCATGGAAGCCACTATGGAACCTCCTTTCCCAGAAATCCTCAGCCAACATATCCTTGAATTGAATCTACACAGTTCTGACATACACATCATATGCATGCAACATGTCACTGTCCTCCTCCTTCTTCACTTATCACCTCCACCGTCTCTTTGGTTAAAGTAGATTAAAGGGAATGAGGATAATGTAACTTATCAAAGTGTGCCTGGATGAGACTGCAGTGAAGAATGTACTCTCAGTGACACAGGCTCCAGCTGCTTGTAATTAATCAGTCTCAATTAATTAATCAATTGATGCTGATTGAAGCTGCATAAAGAGTTTAGTGAAGCTGTGTCCAAGCTCCAGCTTTGCTGTTTACTAATGAGATGGGTAGTCCCAGTCAATTTGTCTCACCTCTCAGAAACCCCATCTTCTTGTGAGAATCGAGCGAAATGCTTGTAAAAGAATGTTGATCATGTCTACATTTTCCAAATGCCAAGCTTTACTATTATTGTCCCTGCTGTAAGTAGAAGAGGGAGACTGGTCTTCATTATAAGAGATCTACATTGAAAGGTTTTACAGTGTATCACAGTCTTCATTTATTACAAAAATAAAAGTTTATGGATAGTTTGAAACTGTGCTGGATACTAAAACTCTGGTATATATAAATAAATATGAACATTAATTTTATATAGAGAGAAAATTAATGTAAGAGAATATAAGAAGTTGAGTGGCATCTTCCAGGGCATACCTAGAAAATTCCTTTTTTGTTCTTGAGTAACCACCTCATATTTGTTTGACTTTCTCCCTTTATTTTCTTTTCCTTATTTGAGTGAAAAAAAGAAAATTCAGTTAGCTAAGGATCTAAGTGAACTAGATTCCAATTCATTGAGTTTTTGGTATATATGTGTTATGTTAAGAAACCTGTATGCTTAGTATTTTTTGATTTATAGATAATGTTACAATATATTATTAATACACCAACTGTTATAAAATTAGAATTTTTCAGTACTTCTTTAGAAAACCTTCTTACTCTGTAGCTAATTTCAAATTTTTGAAACATAAATATAAGCTTAATTGTTTTGAAATTTGGAGCTTATGACCACCAAAACAAAACTTCCCTTTCCACATGAACTGGCATAAAGCTCAGAGTTAAATTTAGACCTTAGCTGAGAAATAGTCTATTTCAGGTTCTTCTAATTTTTATCTTTGCTCCTTTTGGTTCATCTTTGTCCAACTTTATTTTTAATTGATATGTGTTATATATTTTAACTTTATAAGTGTTTTCATATTCTTTATGGAATTTACAAAAGAGAAAAAGAAAGATATGGAGGGAAAGAGAAGGGAAAGGAGAGAAGAAAAGTAGAGATGGCCGTGGAGAAAGGAATGACCAGCTCAGAGCTGAGCGGTAGTTTGGAAATGAGAGGGAATCTGATGAGATACCAGTAGTTCATTAGAAGGTAAAAGTGCCAAAGAGTAGAAAGAAATGAGACCCAAACAGAAGGTCATGACAGAGGAGATAAGGTATAAACCTAAGAATTGTTTCAGGTGAAGAATAGAGAGTGCTTGCCAACTCAGGAATGATGATTTTGAAATGATGGTGATGAAAAGTGAAATATCAGTGATGCTGAAAGTTTGAACCAGGCTGATCCCAGAAAAATTATGAACATGGGGTGAGGGAGGGAGTAGAGATAATGGTAGCAGACACTGTGCTAGCCAGTTTACAGAAAGCCTTTAACTTCGCATAAAGCATCTCATTTTATTCCTCAAATAACTGCGCCAGATATCAGTATTCCCTTTTTACATGTGAGTAAACTAAGAAAGAACAAGCTTTTTTGTCTTATTTTATTTTTTAAACTGATAATTCTGACTAATATATACACAAAAAAAGTCCAAAAAGAAATCCAGAAGGCTATTCGGTCAGTTTGATTAACATAGTCATTCAGCATGGACAATTGAGGTCAAAAAAGGCCACCCCACTTTGCTCACCAAATACAATATCATGCTATGATCTTGTACGTGTGTAAGAATGTGTGTTTGTGTGTTTGGAGAAAATTATTTTTACTACAGAAATTTCCTTCTTTTTGTTGGCTATATAATGTTGACTTTACTCACATGGCAACTTGGATGTGCCTGGAAAAGGTAGCCCCATTATGCTGTCTATAACTACTGTGGTTCTCATAAGTTTAAAGTTCTATGTGGTTTAAAATTTGATCCACAATAATTAAAACCATCCCTTTTCAGTAATGCTGCTCCTTTAGGAAAACATGATTTGTCTCCCTGACTTCTGAATATTCTGTCCACTCCTCCGTGCCCACCCCCTCAGTTGGTGTCTGGGTGTGTGGTGGAGGGATAAGGCTTTTTACAGCTGGCATCTTTGAGTGTGGAGTCCTCATGACCCTCTCATTTTCAGAGCGATGTCCCTTGTCTGTTGCCTTCATGGCACTCACAGCTGATGCAAGCACCTTTTATCTTGGCTTGGTTGACTTGCCCTCACCATGTGGCAGCACCTTGCCTGCTAGCTCTCAACTCAGTTGTCAGTTCCGCGTGGGACAAGGATGGGTGCTGTGGAAACACCTGGTTTCTATCCAGGCTACATTTCAGTGAAGTGGAGTTTATGAAAGCCACTTGTCAAAGCTAATAGGTGACTCTCAGGAGGTTAGTGCAGGCAGCCCTGGAGTATGGAGGAAGTTGCATTTTAGTCAGATATAGAATTTGAGGTTGTTTTCCTCTGGGGCTTCCCACACCATCCCACTCCAAAGAGTGAAAGTCAGAAAGGGAAACTGGGAAGCATTCTTAGGTTGCTTTCCACACAGAAACAGAAGGGGTGGGCTTTGTTCCCTGTCCTTGTTACCCAAAGTTCTTCTACCAGAAAACAGCCAGCCACATGGCCTGGAAAGTTACTCAGTGGGAGATATCTTCTCTTCATTGGGAGAGTTCTAGAAAGAGTCCTCCCGATTTAGTCCTTAAAATGATAAATAGGAACTAAAAGAATTTAGGAAATCCATTTACTCTCCACAAAGTCTTGCTTTCAAGCTAAGTTCTTACTCTTTCTTGATGTAGGACAGTAAGTTTTCTGATTCTGTCTTAAAGGTGGCAGACTGCAAAGAAATAGGATTTAGAGAATGTTGTGAAATACTTTGGTTTAATATTTGCAAAATACCATCCATAGTACCATTATACAGACACAGTCAAAAGTCCCGAAATCTGTGTAACTAAATGTTCAGTTTATACTATCTAGGATCCGGTAAATTTAACGGGAGAATCACTTTCTAATCCATTTTGTCTAGCAAGTAAGAAAGGTGGAGAGCTGATTTTATTGTGAGTTAAAAGTGGATGTAAACTAGTAGTGTATTTGGAATACAGCCTATAAAAAAGAAATAATTATAGCCACTATGGCAAAAAAAGTGGGCCGACACTTCTTTTATCAATAAATAACAAATTAACAAAAAGGTGACTTTTACAGTGTTGTTTCTGAACTGTTTCTAAACTGGCAATTTTAGAGATTGGTTTCTAAGTGTTTTGTCAGGAGAAAAAGCTTTAGTAAATTTTATTTAATGAATGCTGCAGTTTAGAGTTCTGTTTTATGTGATAGCAAAATAAACTGACTTCTTTTATATATTTTTCCCCATTAGATTTCACTGTTTGTAGCAGGGCTTGTCAAATAGAGATGAAAATTAAATTATAGTAACATAACAAGTGTACCTAGAAAATTGTGTGAATTCTTTGAGGAAAGCTGTACATTTGCTTTACTAAAAGGAATATTTCTTTTGTGGTGCAAACTGATAATTAAAAGTATTGAATTAGATATTTGTAAAAGAATAGTGGGAATTACCCACTATCACATGCATTCTATCTCTTGGTATTCTGTTCTAATTATGAGCCAACATTTTCCCCAAATTCCAAATTCATCCTAAAAAGAAACATATAATGACCACATTTCCTAAAATAATCTCTGAAATTATGGACACATTTATTCGTGTTAATATGAGTTTTGCATTTGAATTTAGATGATGGCGCTGTGGATTGCTTTTCTGAATAATTTCATATAAGGACAGTTTGTAGGAACAGATAAAACTAAAGGCAATTATAACACGAACCCTTTTTTTCCCTCCTGTATGCATGCAATGGCTGAAGCCCAGAACCTTTTTCTTTATCGGACTTGTCAGATCTTAATGTTTAAAAATTTTATTCCCATACACATATAAAATTATACATGATGGATGGAAGAATTATGACAGTATTCTTTATTTCCTCCTCTTCAATAATCATATGTTCATCTGTCACTCACAGAAAAGTGCAGATCTGTCACTGCTTTAGTGTGGTTTCTCAAGAGTTGCCTGCTTCTCTTCTTCTTACAAACTTAGAATATAGGTGTAATGAAATGTTCTCACCCACCTAACAACATTATAGGCTTTTTTGCTCTTGCTTTTGGTGACCTAAAAATAAAATGTTAAAGATAATTTTTAAACATTTCTTCCTCTGTGTGTGGCAATTTAGGTATCACCTCTGGAAATGAAATTTGGGCTTGACGAATTCAATACATATTTTAGTAGTGGGTGGAAGAAGAAGTTTATTTACACGTGATGCCTTCAATTACTTTACTTTGAAGACTTTAATTTGTCATAATTTCTGAAAATTTCTATTTTATACTTTGCAAAAAGGATCTTGTTGACTGCTCACTATATTAATTATTGCTTTTAAGAGAAGATGAGGTCCTGACTGAGTTGGCTAGTGACCATGCCTGGGCACTGACAGCATTCTTTCACTCTCCTCGCCCTCAAGGAGATAACATACAATTTAGGATATAAACCTACAGCTATGCATCATTGTCAAAAACTTTTTCTTAATCATAAGAAAAATGACACATTTTCAAATAGTTATGCTTTCACTTCATAAATTTTTATCTTAAAAGCAACATTGAAAATATGAAAATGATGATCTCCTTTTCTTAAAACTTATTATCCTTTTGGTGGCTTAAGAGGGAATTGGTTAACATGATTTTTAATTTGTCTCAAGGCCTGTGGAAAGAAGCTGGCTTTCTAGAATGTACATGGTTGAGCATCATACAGAAATAAATATCTCCCCCTTTGGAATTTAAATTGTATCTAGTAGTACTATTTTTATACCTCTTACTAGGAAACGAAATACCTCTAAATTTAGTGCTTTGGAATTTTATTTCTACTAAATTTTTTTTCAGATATTTGAGCACCATAGTAACAGCTTTGCAAGCTGATTCTTCATTACAGTTCTCCGATAAGAGCTTCACTCAAGACAGTTCCTTTGGGATGACTGAGACTAAAAAATCAATTCTGATAACATTAGGACAAATTTGAAGATGAAGAATAAAAAATAATCAGAAAAAGCATGCATGCTGTGGATAAACAGCTTCCCTTAATTTAAA